TTACCAGTTATCTTACTGGTCATAGTAATTTATAAAGGTAGCACTGCCCTCATCACACAGAATGGTAAAATAAAGCAAAATGAGCCCCAAGTTACACAGCATTACAGATAATAAACTGCAACTGGTTTTTCAGGGATCACATTTACCAGTAGTACCACTTCCTACTACAAAACGCTGACTACAGAGTGGAAACGTAACTTGAAAAGAGAAAAGCAAAATGTGCAATACAGTTTGTGGTACAGATTTAGAAGAACAATATTCTTAAAAGACAATTTTTTAAAATGTTCATTAGAGGCTTAGAAGGCTGCCATCCATGCTAGAATGAATCATCTCCCTAATGTCTTGGAAGGAATCTACTAGCTGTGTCTCTTTTAATGTTCAGTCTGCATGAATCCAGCCATGAACCAAGAAGGGAACTGCGTGTGTGCCTTTGAGGTGATCTACCAATGGCTCCAAAACAATTGGTAGATGACATTTGAGTTGTTTAGTGAGCTTCATCAGCAAATAGTAAATCCTACATCCTAGTTTTTCAACTATTTGAAACTAAAGACACCCATCCTGTAAGTCATACGGTGAGGTTTTAATATTAAAAGGTGTCATTAAGAGAAATAATCTAAATATCTTGTGTTTATTGGTATTCAAGCTGACAAACCCAATTGTGTTGATGAATCATCCTTCACAGGCTCAACTAGATCTGGGCTTTCACAAAAATATCTGAATAAACATTAAGACTTGAAATACTTGGATGTATCTTAAAGTTTTGGCAAACCAGTTTTTATGCAATGTCAAAATACGAACACATTGCTATTTATTTAAGTAAAGTTCCAAGCAGAGCAGGGATTTAGATTCAAATTATTATTTATACATGCAGAGAAGTCTGCAACAAGCTCAAAGTGGTTACAAAACAACATTCAAAATCTGTATTACTGCATTCAACAAAAAAAAAAAAACCACCCAAACCCACCAGGTATCATAAATAAAGAATCACTTTTATTTAAGAGAACTAGTCATATACCAGATAACTGTGTCATATCTGCAATCACAAAATGTGCTAACTTTGAAACAAAAAAATGGCTTGTAACTTAATCAGTGCAAGAGCTCTAAAGAAATAAAACAAGGACAGAGATTAGCACACGGAAAGTTGGCAAAACAGCTGTTTGGGGCAGCAGGCGTATCTGACCAAGGGGCCCCAGCAGAGCCAATTTTAGGTGCCGCATGAAGCTCGGGCAGTGCTGACAGTGTGATGATGATCCCCCAGCTGAACTCACACACACGCTCTGCTATATCGGGACCAGGTGGAGATGCCAGATCGAACAGCGCTGCAGACCTTGGCGAGGCACTGAAACCTGATCACATGCACACATGGCTATTTACCAACAGCGGATTGTGCAACAGCAAAAAGAACTGAGCTCCGAAGGAGCTGGAAGCGAAGAGAAATCCCGTCTAGAATTTAGAATTTGGTATGAACGCATTTACATTCCAGAAAGCAGACATAAGTTCACCATCTGCTTCTGGCGAATCCTCCAGCGCAGGCGATGGCCCCGCTGCGGCGGCGGCCCCGAGCGCCGGGCCCGGCCCGGGCACGGGGATTGCCGGCTCATCGTGCCAACATGGCTGCCCGTGCCGTGCCGTGCCGTGCCGTGCCGTGCCGTGCCGTGCCGTGCCGTGCCGTGCCGTGCCGGGCCGTGCCGGGCCGGGCCGGGCCCCCGAGCGCCGCTCCCGCACCGCCCCGCGGGGCGCGCCCCTCCCGGAGCGGCGCCGCCGCCTCCGCCCATCCGAGCCAAGGGAGCGCGGCGGGCGGCAGCCAGCCCACGAAGAGCCGCCCGGGGAAAAAGGAAGGAGGGAGACGAAGGGAAGGAAGAAAGGGAAGGGAAGGGAGGGAAGCGTCCCGGGGGACGAGGAGATGGCACCGGGCAGATGGCAAGGCCGAGCGGGGCCCCACGCCCTTGCGCCGCTGCCCTGACAGCTCCAGGGCACCCAGCGCTAAGCATCCATCCATCCCTCCGTCTGTCTACCCATCCATCCGTCCGTCCATCCCCCCCGCTCCCGGCCTCAGCCCTCCGCGGGGCCCCACAGATGCGCACGGCGGCATCGCCGCCTCCCCCTCCGCATTACGGCACCAGCCCCGCTCCGGCCCCGCCAGCGCAGAGGCCCCTCAGCGCAGCCCCTCACCTGGCGCGGGCGGTGCGGCGTCAGCAGCCGGCGGGGCAGCGCAGCGACAAAAACCCGGCCATCCCCATCGCCGCCTCCACCGAGGCCTGGAGACCCCCCCGCGGCCGGGAACGGAGCGGGAAGGGGAGGAGGAGAGCGAGGCCGCGCCGGGAGGAACGGGCGCCGCGCTCGCCCAGCGCCGCTCCCGCACTGCCGAGCGCGGGGGGAGCGCCCGCCCCGCGGGGGAGCGCGCCCGCTCCGCCAATCGCCGCGCGCCGCCCCGCCCCCTCGGCGCGGCCCGCCAATGGCGCTCCGCGGAGCCCGCGTGTGCCCGCCCCCGCCCTGTCAATCACAGCCGGCCGCGCCGCCGGCGCCGCCTGGCGGTGCCCGGCCGCAGCGGCACCGCCCTCCGAACAGAGCCCTCCGCCGCGCAGCTCCAGCCAATCGGAACCCGCTATGCAAATCACGGCTGCGCCCTCGGAGCCTATCGGGAGAGGGGCCGCAGCACCGCCCGCCGCGCTGTGTCCGTGCGCGCCCCGAGCCGTGAGGGGAGGCGGGTCCAGGAGGGAATGTCAGGGTGAAGGGATAAAACCGGCCGGGACACCGCCAGGGTGCGGGTAAAGGGATAAAATCGGCCGGGACACCGCGGGGTATAAGGATTAGCGGGATAAAATGGGCTGGGACACCGCCAGTGTGCGGGCAAACGGGATGAAATGCCCGGACACCGCCGGTGCGCTCTCGCTGTGGGAACGCGGGGTCTGAGGTAGCGAATTCCCCAGCTCCCCACTCCGTGTATTCAGTGTGATTGGATCCTAAACTAGGCCTAAGGGCGATAGCTCAGAGGGAAGGGATTAGTAATCTTTCCTCCCTCCCTTCAAAACGGTTCTTGAGCAGCCCGAGTCATTTTTTTAGACCTCATAATGTATTTTGGGCAAATTATTAAATTAACCTGCCTGGCATGCTGCTGTTAACAGCTGCCGGCAGGGAGAACTGAGATATGTCAGTTGGGCCATTACAAGGATAAATCGTGATACAATAGAATCAATTGTCCTGAATTGTGTTTCTACAGCATCAGCGCTTGCCCCAGGAACTTCTCCAGTCTCTAGTGTAGAGCTGCAGGACAAGGAGAGAGCGGCGATCCACAGTAAATTCCAAGGAAAGCTCACTTTGTAACGCAGTATGAGTTAGCCTTTGCTGGGGTAAACCATTCCCAGCTCAGAGACACTGACATTCTGCACACACACGGACGTGGTCAAACGTAAATCCCTCCACTGGCAGTTTCTGTGATGTCTCATATGAACTCTGTATTGCAGTTTCTGTGGTCTCTCATATAAACTCTGTATTATAGTTGGATTGAAAAAGGTAAATGACATAGTAGTGAGGGGAAGGGAAATCACCAAAAACTGCAGGTAGCATTTAATTAACTGAACTAAGAATCGTCACACAACCGATATGCTTTTGTGGGAAATTGATTTTTAATCCAGCTTCAGCTTTGCTTTTCAGTCACTCAAATGTCCACTACCCACTGAAAGACAGGGGTTTGATTCACAATAGAATGGCACTTCAGCAGCTTGTATTAAAATACATTTCATTATTCTGCTCACAGTTGCAGAATTTGGGAGAACACTTGTCTGAGCTCACACCTTTGAAATACTTGATGCTCGTTTCCCAGATCAAATTGTTTTGGCCACTTATATCATGCCTTTGTGTCTGATAAGATATTGCACAAGCCTTTGTGCAATATCTGCACTGACATGTTTTCAAATGATAGATGTATGCCATAATTAGACAAAGCATTTCAGTAATGCACTTTGCTATTTATATTCCTCAGGTCAGAGTCTGACACAATGGCACAATAAATATAAATTCAGATTCTAAAGGGCATTGTGTTGATTAAAACATCCCACACCAAATGTGAATATGTCTACTTCCTCCTGGCAAAACCCAAAACTATAAAATTTTCACTTTATAATCTATCAATAGAAGCAAGATATGATACGCACTTGCAGAAAAAACCCATAAGGTGAAGCCAGTTTAATCATCTTCTAGTAAAAACACATATTCACTACAGAACAGCTGTCCTTCATAAAAAAAAAGTATAAACTCTGGGATATTCCTAGAGATTTCTTACAAAAATCCTCAATAACGAAGGGACAGTTGAATATGTAAGTTTTTCTTTTATATAGAATGAAATTGCCTCTTCACTAAAGAAGAAAACACACAGCACAACCTGTAACACATCAGAATCTCTGCTGGGTTTGGGTGCTTGACTGGGAGCCTGCAGGTAAAAGCAGAGCAGGTTTTGATCTGGAACTTACTGAAGAGAAAGAAGAGGGGGATTGGAATTTGTGGAAGAAGTGAAGGTTATAATTATCAAACCAACAAACAAGCTTCTCTGTTGCAGCAGTGGATGCAGACAGAAGCTTTGGAATCTTCTCCCATCCTTATAGAGAAATACACATTCATGATGTAAGAGGAAGTACCACTGAAAAACCCACAAACAAACAAAAGATACAACTCACAACTGTACCTTCACATTTTATAATTTAGAGTTATTTGCACACCTAAAAGGTCAGTGCTGGATTCTATACAAACTAACCAGAATTTCCCTTGGAGCTGTCACCAGCTGTCACGGAGCTATGAATAGGTGCTCAGTGGCACCTGCTTGGGAACATTCTTGAATGTAAAGGATTACTGGTATCTGTGTGCACAGAAATTTTCCACATCATTTGCTAAGTTATCTCCAGATCCTAAATCACTATCAGCAAACCTGAACAAAGACACCCAATCATTTCTAATTTTTATATTTTCACCAACACTCTTACAAGAAAGACGAAGGAAACATCCTGTGCGAGTGTGTATCATTTATTGTAGTTCAAGAGAGTCAGGAATTGAACAGAAGACATGGCGAAAAACAAATAAAAGAAAAACAACCTTTTTTTTCCAACTTAATTTTAAAACACTGTGGTTTCAAATCCTTTTTAAAAAGGAAATTCAAGTATCATATGCAGGGGGCAGTAATATAAAAATGTTTGTGAATATTTTTTTATTTTTTTTAAAAACGTAATTCTACATTTCCTGCACCCTTTCTGCTTTGGTAAGGCCAAGCCATGGATACAAATTGGTACGCAACATAAAAAATGACCCCTGCCTCAAACTGCAGCCTCCAGGGATAAAGGTATCTGCTCTCTGTGGACAAGCTCCAATGGCTCAGAACTGTCAGTTAGCATTGATCTGCAGCATTGAAAGAATGTATTTTATTTTTTTAAAGTCACTGAAATCCTGGTATTCCCAAGCATCTCATTCATGGCAGCTGTTTTAACACATTTCTATCTCAAGGCTTTTCACAAGTACCAGAGCATCTTGATCAACATAAAGGAAAGGGACATCTCAAGGAAAGTAAATTAAAATCCACGCGTGAAGTCTTCGCTCTTTTGAAATTATCCTTGTGTCTAACACCAATTAAAAACCAAATAGGCAAATATGTGTAATATAAAAATACGATCCCAAGATGAACACTTTGTTGCAGGCACAGTTATCGCACAAAATATGTTCTTTTTAGGGCAGGGGAATGATTTTGATTTTCACAGGGTTTATGTTTTTTTGCATTACAGAAGGAAAAGACAGCAGTGCAGGTTTGATGGGTGGAACAGAAAGAAAGGAAGGGAAAGAAAAAAGTTACTTTAGCAGCAAAATGTCCAAGGTTCTAACCACAATCAAATTAACGGATATCTGGCGGTAAAAAACAAGGTTGAAGGGATGCTGCCCTGATCCATTTGTCTTTGCTAAAATAATTCAGCTGTAAAAACTCCAAAATGTGACATATTGGAGGACAGTTTTGTAACATAAGTAACTTCCTAGCTTGTCCTCCATGTTATTGACCATCGTTATCACTTAAATATATGTACAAGAATGAAGCTGCTTTCCTCCTCGTCCACATGCTCCTGTGGTCACTACTGCGAGCCAGTGCCGTGGGCATGCCAATCCATCAACAGCTCCCAAGTGTGTCTGCTGCACTCCTGCCAGAGCAGCCCACGCCCTGCTCTGCCCATTGGTGGTGGTGTGCACTGCAAGGGAATTTTAATGGTCATTCTGCTTGTCTCTCATCCAGGCTTGGATTTGCTCTTTAAGTTCTGGCACTAGGAAGGAAAAAAAAAAAAGAGAGAGAAAAGAATTATTAAATTACTTGGTAACAGTACTATAAGAAAGTCCCTCATGACTAATAGCCATTTTCCCATTTATATACCATGATGTATTTCAGCCCAGGAGTTAAGAAAGCAAGGCTGTGAGGGTTTTTTTGCCCCGGAAAAAGGGAAAGGAGAGGGAATGAACTTTTCTGTGCAAGCTGAAATGAAAGAAGTGTCACCTCTGCTGAGGCCTCAGCACTGTGCTATGGAATTACAGAGCTGCCCAGGAGCTGCTGCCCGCAGCCCAGGTGCCAGGGCCAGCTGTCCCACGGTACCTGGTTCCAGCATATTCTCCGTCAGCGTCTGCCGGTTGAACGGATCCGTGGAGGAGTTCAGCAGGTGCCTCAGGATGATTGACCTGTCCATGATGGTGCCCGAGGGCAGCCGCACGGGGTCGGTCATCAGAGTGTCCATCAGTGGATCTGAGGGCACAAGGCTCTCCTCATTACAGTGAGCAAACAGCTACAAATGTTATCTCCCATCAACCCACACTGCAAAACCAGTGCTCAGGGTCCCCAGTACACTGCTGAAGGTAGAGAAAATGGTTAAATGGACATAAATCTTCACAGCACTTTCCCCTTTCTGACCTGGGACTAAGCTTTCCCTATTGTCACCCTATTTTCAGTTGTAGGGGGGTGTTACTGTTTTCAGGTACATGTTAGCAAAGCATGGCTAGGACAATCATGGACAGTACAATCCCAGGGAAAACTAAAAAAACTCTTAGCTCTGTATTTACTTAAATACGTCATTGAAATAGAGCAAGATGCAAGGCAAGATGTTTTTATGAAAAGCAATATATAGTTTCTAGTAGCATATGGAATCATTGCAACAAATGAAATCCCTCTCTCCTAGACAGGCAGGGTTTAGAAGACTCCACTTGCCTCTGAATTCATCTGGAGCATCGCTGTAATCAATCTCTGCACGGGCGTTCTTGGCAACGATTTCCTCCACTTTCTCTGCCAGCAGTTTGAATTTCTCTATTGCTATGGTAGACTTGATTCCAGCCTTCCTCATCTTGGAGATAACCTCCTCAAAGAGCTCTTTACTGTAGGACCTCTACAGGCAAAGCACAAAAAGACAACTTTGATGAGTCGTAGTGTCCTTACATGCCATAGAAATAGTAAAGATATTTAATGTATTTTTGAAATGGCAGAAGGAAGGCTCAATGAAACCTCAACCTTACATCAAAGCAAACAGTATGTAGGTAGCATTCATCTAGCACCAAAATGTCAACACTGGGGTAGACTTACGATTTTTTTACCCGTCATCACCACTGTAGAACTATTAAGGACCAAAAAAAAAAAAGGCAACATCACCTAAAGAAAATGAGGAAGATGCTCAGAGAAGCTGACTAATTATTAAGAGCTGTTCTTAGACAAAACATCTGTTTTGCCATTCTCCTTTCTGTATCCCTGTTCTCACAAGCCTTGGCTGAAAATACAGCATATAATGAATTTCTTACCTCCTCCAATAATATGCAAGGCAGTACTGGGAAAGGAGTGATTCTTTCTCCTAATCCAAACAAGAACTAACAAAAAACCCACCCCACAATGTTGCAAAAATAGTAAGACAGCTCAGAGAGAGTGAATGCTGGAAATTTGCCACCCGATGCAGTAGGACTATCCAGAGAGACCAAATGCAACTGAAGCAAGCATTACTTTCATGTGAAAAAGTGTCAGGGAAGGACTTTTGTAGCTGTCTGTGTTCTACAGAGACACCATTTTCTTTCAAGTTCACAATATCATGTTTTGACATAATCCTTTTACTACAAAATGTTATGTACTTTACAGTGCAAGATTGAATTATATGGCAAAACAAAACACACTAAGTCTCAGATTTCTATTTCCCTTGGGATTTTGAAAGTGTTCAACAGAGCCCCACTTCTTTCATCTACTGCACACTGCAGCAAGCAATGCCACTCAGCAGGCAGGACACACAGTGCCCACCCAAACGCCTTTCTCGTGCCCAGAGGGAACAGAACAATGGCAACGTGCCCAGGGCTCTGTAAACGTTTGCAGATTCCCTCTGCTGCGTGCTGGGATTTGCAAATGGGACATCTCTCAAAATGCTTTAGAGAGATCCCACCATGATCAAGCAACTTTTTGTTTGTTTTGTTTTCTCTCCCAATACCAGTAGCCATTAACCAGCCACACATTTCCTTGGTGTTTCTTTCCTGTCACTGACAGTTTCCAAGAGACTGGTCACTCCCCTCACTCCTTTTTGATGAAGGGCCACTTTGTTAATTAAGCTTTTTTCCAGTTCTCACACCCGCAGGCTTCTTTCTTTTGAATCCCTATGTCAGTCTGTGCATTTGCTGTGGCTGGCATGGATGCATGATTGATAACATTCTCATATATAGTGAACAGCATAAAAATATTCATTATATACATGCAAACACGTAAGGTCTGTTTCAGATGTGGTACTGGTATTATCTGCAATTATCAGAACTTAAATAACTACAGAAAAATAATCCTGAGCTACCCCAATACTGCTGTTTCACTAGACATGCAAACAGCTTCACGTGCTGCAAGACATCATCCACTAGAATCTCAAGTAGCTGCTGTGAACATTTCTTGCCCTCTATACTTTGAAGTTGGTGTTATAAGACATGGGCATGGACAGATGTGACTGAGTAGTTTGACGACTTTACAAGAACACAGCTGCAATAGCTTATCTTGCTCTGACTATTACCATGAGTTCAAAGGTGTCGTTAATTGTCTCATACATGCTGTGCTTTGTCAGTTTATTACAGAGCCATTTAATAAAGTGATTTCAGAGGGAATACAATTTGGAAACTGTAAAGCAGTGAATGAACTTTGATTTGTTGAAGGAGGCTCTTGGTCCCAGCTCTGCCTGTTTCGATGAGGAAGGGGGAGGGAGTCAAAACTCCGCCTCAGTTCTCCCACTTGCAAAGAGACAAAGTATTTCTGCTAATTTGCAATAAGGCTGTAGGCAATAAGCACATCAAGCTCAGGAAATTTCCTATGCATGTGAAGTGCCATGGATATTTCTGTATGTTTACAGGTTTGCAAATAACTGGGAATGCCCATCTACAAAGAGCAGACAGAATATGAACAGAGATAATCTGCTGAAAGAAAACAAACTGCAGGGATGTAAGACAAACTGGCTGGCAGCACACAAGCAAGATGAAATGCTCCTAGAATGTTCTGCAAGGTCTTGTTTGTCCACAGAGCTTTTGCCCTTCTCCTTCATCCTTCTGGAGCTCACCTGATCATCAGCAATTGCTTTAGCAAAGCGAGCACAATCCAGCTGCAGATAAATGTCAGTCAGTTGGTCCAACAGCTTCTTTGGTTCAAACCCGTATTTCTCTGGGTTTTCAACTTTCAGGTCACGGCACTTGGGGCCACACAGTTGCTGTAAGTTAAAGTTCAACATAGCAGCCAGTCGTGGTCCAAGTTCCTACAAAAGCAAAGTAAAACACAGATCACAGTGTGAGGGCAGTGATAAAGAAGGTTATCTCTAGAGTTGCACACAGCAAGATCAGGAATTATTCATTCCAATTAATGAAACTATCTAACTAATAAAATTTCATTTGTTAGGCTCCCAGGAAGCGTCTGTTCTTCATGCATGTTTGCCATTAAAAAATGTCATGCAAACAGTTTCTGTCTGGGAGGATCACACCATCTCAGTGACTCAGGTAATGCTCTCAACATCAAATAACATCAACAGCAATTATATTTTAATGAGCTGGAGAAAAGGGAGGAGAATAGAGACTAAGTGCTACCAAACATTTCCAGGTTATTATCCAGAGATGTTAGAGAAGCAGGGAACCAACTTAAATCTGAGCAGGACTTACAGGTCTGAGAAAAGGCTTTTGGACCTGCTTGGTAAGGATATGGAACATATCAACAGTTTCTGTTGCCAGGGCGAGATATGAACGGGACACGCGCTCATCCTGAGCCAGCTGCGACTGCCGGGCCTGCTGCTGATCCTACAAAATAAACACAGCGTCCATGGCATCTCCTACATCATCGTTCAGCAAAACCTTACAGCCACACTGCTAAGGGCATCTAGACAAAAGGAAGACAACAATTCAAATACAGATGTGGGACATCTTTTAGTCTAAGGTACAGCTGCTCAATTTTATTACCTAGTACTAATGTCTGCATCAATTTGCCAGAATTCTGCAACACTACAGAATGAATACAAACAGCATAACAAACCCCTGTGATTATTGAGTTTATTTACATCCTCTAACTGCTCCTCACAGCTGCAGAACTGGGTTATGCTTCCTTTCTATCCAAATGTCAATACTTCAAAACCAGCTTGGGATCTGAGAGTCAAATGAAGCTCTCTCTAATTCTCTCTAATTTATGCACCATCATAAATAATAAACACTCCCTGGTGGAACAATCTGTAGATGATGTACCAGCCCATTTTGTAACTACAGCAATGGCTTTACCTTGCTGGTAGGCAGAGACAGGAAGAAAGGCTTCAGAAGAGCAAACCAGAATATCTTTAATAAACAAGATTTTTATAGCTTTTCCTCTTGTGCTTTTTCTTTTTTTAAATCAATAACCTTAAAATAGAAATGCCTGACATTGGTGGGTCAACACACACAATTACTGTTTAATCAGGCCAAGCTCTGAGGTACAGGACTATAACTGTCTGCATCGAATTTACCAAGGACCAATGCATTAACAGAGTAGAAGCTTCTATTCCTTGAAGTCAATTCAACTGGCGAGCATCTTCCCAAACCTCCTTCAGGAAGGTTAAAGTGTCTTTTTCTCCACTTAGAATTAAGTGCACAGTAATTTGAAATTTTATACTATTTCTACTTCACACCACTCTCTTTGCCAGCTACAACATAACTAGGCAGAATGATGGTTTTGCAGAATGTCATCCAGAGTGACCATGGCCATAAAAAGCATTGAGAACTGCTCCTCATAAGCAGCTCTTTGGTGCTGTTCCTTATAAAAAAGTTTTTTTAATGGTCTTGTATTGAAGAATTAAAAGTAAAGGGCACTTTGAAAAACAGCTCTGTTCACCCTGGGCAGCAGGTCCCATTGCTCTTTATTCTTCATCTCCTCTTGCACTTCATGGATACGTTTTAGGGACTCCAGACTCTCATCCAGCAAGAAAGTTGTGTCATTTATCAGCATGTTGATGTAGCGCACAAACTGCTTCCCAGAGCTGAAAACATTGAAACACAGGTATCACGGCAGAGCAGGTGGGTGTGCAGAGCAGCCTGCAACCCCAGCAACACTCCTGCACTGCACAGTTCCAACAGGGATCCCATTCCCCAAGCCAAGCTGATGGTGGTGTCCAGAGCTCAGTTTAGAAATACCCCAGTTGTACTGGAAGGGGCTGCCACGTAAGATACAACAGAAAGCAGAATCTCCCAGTCCCAATGGCAGCGAGCTCCTCGGGCCCCCTCCTGAGCAGCCTGCACGAGGAAACTGCCTCACACAACCTCTTACTCACTTGAACTCTTCCATAAATGTACCATGGTGAGCTATATTCTGCCAGAGGCTTTTGAAAATGGTGCTGATGTGGTAGCGGATTGTAAACTTGTCATAGAACTCGCTAGTGGCTCCAGTATGCTCCACATCTGGAAAAGAGAACAGATCCCAAAACTTTCCCACCAGGATTCTCTGGCAAGACACCTCTTCCTACTGCCTCCAATGTGATGAGCTTCAAGCACCCAGAGAAACATTAAGAGATGAAATTCAATTCCTGTTCAGAAGTCTCCATCTTTATTCCCATTAGAAGAAGCAACACTATATATTTCCCAATCTAGACCCAGCCTCATTTCAGAAGAAAAACCCCCAGAAACCAAAACATTCTGTTCTATTCTACTCTTCATCTCACAGTCTAAAATCTCACTAAGAAAACTCGGGTAGCCTACAAAAATACTTGTTTTTGTTATGGGTGCAAAAACTCTTCTGAAACATTCAAATTTACAGGACTAGCACAACTACAACAAGGAGTTCTAAAATTCCAATACTCCTTTGGATACAATGCAAAGAAAAAGCTTTAATTTTGGAATCTAAAGACCACAAAAACAATTGTATCATCAATTCACACT